GAGAAAAGCCAAGTTACTAAATCAAGAATGAAAAGAATTTTTTAGGGGTTTAACTCAGTGGTAAAGCACTTGTCCAGCATGGCTGAGGCCCTAGGTTCAATCCCCTAAAACAGAAAACAAAAAGAATGAAAGGGACTCCGCTATTGACCTTACAGAAATAAAAAGAGTTGTAAAGGATAACTATGAACAATTATATGCTAATAAATAAGGTAACCTAGATGAAGTGGAAACATTTTAGAATGACACAAAGTGACTGGTTTCCCAGGGCTGCCATGATAAATTTCCACTCGTTTGTTGGTTTACAGATTATTTCTGAGTTTGTGTGGTACTGGGGACTGAATCCAGGCCCTGTGGCTGCTATGTAAGTGCTGTCATTGAGCTACATCCCAGCCTCAAGATCCTGAATTATATCTACAAAGACTTTTTCTTTCAAATAAGGTAGTATTAATAGGTTTGGAAGATTTAGATGTGATATCTTTTTTTTTGAGAAGGGGTTTACTAGGTTGCCTAGGACAGTTGCCCAAGCTTGGGTTCAAGTGATCCTCTGCTCCAGCCTCCTGAGTTGCTGGTGAGGCAAGGAGTTAACAGAACTTTAAAACTGGTTAAGTCACATGCTTGAGGCCAAAGTCAAAAATTGCAGAGACAGAACTGAACCCAGGCAGTCTGACCCTTGGGACTCTGGGTATGTGACTAAGGCAGAGAGCTAACAGGACAGTGAAGTAGCCACTTAATAGGAAATGAGTAGGCTCCTCATTTTGGGGTTTTAAGAGGGACAAAGAAAGCAAACAGTTAATCTCTGCTGTCTGTGTCCGTGTTTCTTTCCCATAGTAAACTTATTTCAGCCTTGACACTGGCCCATGTATGATTTCCATCTCACATGCAGGTAAGAAATCATGACAGCTGGTGACCCTGGTACCACAGACTTGTGTCACTGTGCCTCTCCTCCAACTACAACTTTGTTTTGGAGATAGGGTTTCACTATGTTGCCCAGGTTGGCCTCAAATGCACGATCCTTCTGGCTCAGACTCTTGAGTAGATGGAGGTGCCACCACTCCAGGCTCGAGTAATTTTTTTTAAGAGTAATTTTCTTATTACCATGGATAAGGCCCTGTCTGACCAATCCTAAAATAATGATCAACCAGACCACCATCTGACCAAGACTACTTGACTATACATACTTCAGTCTCCTTGTTTTTACTGGTTTCTGCCTTTCCAGTATAGCTATGTTGATCCTGCCCTTCACCATTACTTTTTGTTTGATTTCTTTGGGCCAAGTAGCCAGATCTGATTTGTTGGGACCACCAGTCTTAGCCTCTGGCCTAGGAGTCTAACAAGGACATCAGTCAAAGACAAGAACAGAAAACTACATACAATCCTCCCTTATGAATATAGAGGCAAAACATGTTGGTGCACACCTATAATCCTAGTACTCTGGGAGAGTGAGGCAGGATTACAAATGAGAGCCCTGCTTGTGCACCTTAGTGAGTCAGTGAGACTGTGTTTCAAAAATAAAAGACAGAAGGGCTACAGATGTAACTTGGAGCTGAGGTCCTGGATTCAATCGCTAGTATTATAAAAAAATCAAACCAAACATATATATAAAATAGGCATATGTAGGCTTCATCCCAGGAATGCAAGGTTGGCTGACATATGAAAATCAATCTATGTAATACCACACATTCATAGGATTAAGAGACTAGATGATCATTTCAACAGATGCAAAAAAAAAATGACAAAATCCATATGTAATTAAAAAAAAAACACTCAAGCTACAAACAGAAAAGTTGCACAACCTCAATCTGAGGTCAACAGAGCTTCCTCAGAAGCCAAAAGGCATCATGAAAATTCCATAGCCTACTAATGAGGAAAGACTGGATGTTTTTCTCCGCAGATCAGGAACAGAAGAGTATCTGCTCTCAGCACTTTTCTTTCCCAGTACTGGTGATTGAACTCAGGGTCCTGAGGATGCTAGGCAAGTATATACCACTGAGCAACATCACCACTCCTTCGTTATTTTATTTTTTAATTAATAAATTTTATTTTATCCCGTTCCCCCCCAAGCCCCCTCCCCTCACTATGTACAAGAGCTGTTTTCATTTTTTCCTTCTATTTTCACTTTTTTCTTGTCCCTTCCTTCCTTTCTCTCTTGCTCTTGTTCCCCGTCCCATTTGAATACTTTCTTCCCATTTCCCAACATCCATCATACATCTAAGTCCTTATTTCCACATTGTTTCTCACACTAGAGAAACAATGTGGTATTTAAATGTGTGTCTGCTTTATTTCACTTAAAGAGTATAATCACAAGGTCCATTCATTTAGCTATAAATGTCTAAAGCTCATCCTTTTTTATGGCAGAGCAGTACTCCATTGTATAAAAAAACCACATCTTTATCCACTTGTCAGTTGGTGGGCATTTGGGCTGTGGTATGATGCTTTTAATTCTTTTGGGAAGATACCAAGAAGAGGAATAGCTGGGTCAAATGGAACCTCTAGTTATAGTTTCTTGAGAAATCTTCACACTGATTTCCACAGTGGTTGCACCAGTCTTGTTATTTTAAGTCTCATTAAGCTCCCAGGCTGGTGTCAAACCTGTGATCCTCCTTTCTCAGCCTCTCAAGTGGCCAGGATTATAGGCTTGTGCCACCATACCTGGCTTTGCACTCACTGCTTATATTTAACATTGTACAAGGAAATTAGGGGAAGATAGTGAAAGGCACCAAAATTGTAAAGGAAAATGTAATCTGTATTTGCAGATGATCTCTCTATAAAAAACTACAAAGAATCTTGCTGGGTGTGATGGCACACACTTGTAATCCCAGTATTCAGGAGGCTGAGGCAGGAGGATCAGGAGTTTGAGACCAGCGTGGGCTATACAGTGAGAACCTGTCTCAAAATAAAAAATTAAAGAAAAAAATTTGAGGGAATCAAAAGAAATACTAAAAGACTCAGTAAGTGAACTCAGCAAGGTTGCAAGATATAAAATCACTACATAAACCTTAAGTATATTTCTATGTATTGGCAATGAGCAAACCAAAAGTGAAAATACAAAAACACTTCAATTTACAATGCCACCAAATTAAATAAAATAGGACATGTACAGTGGCATACGCCTATAATCCCAGCTACTTGGGAGGCTGAGGCAAGAGGACTAAAAATTGGAGGTCAGTCTGGGAATTCAGTGGTTATTTTTAAAAAAGGCTGGGGGAAATAATAAATAAAATGAAGCTGGGCACGGTGGCACCCAGCTGTAATCCCAGCACTTGGGAGGCTGAGGCGGGAGGATCACCAGGAGTTAAAGGCCAGCCTGAGCTACATAGTTCAAGGCCAGCTTGAACTGTGTAGGAAGACCTTATCTCAAAAAACAAAAAGCCGGGGATTTATCTCAGTGGTGCTGCACCTGCCTTGCAAGCTCAAGGTCCTGAGTTCAATACCCAGTACCGGGGGCGGGGGAATTATAAAGGCTGTAGCTGCATCTCAGTGTTATAGGATCAGCCTGGCATGGGCAAAGGCCTACGTTTGATCCTCAGTACTTTACCCCGCTCCCTGAAAATAAATCCAAACAAAACAAAAAACAAAACAAAAACTCAGTAAAAAATTTAACATCACTGAACGAAATAGAAGTCCTAAATAAATAGAAAGATCTCCCAAGTTCAAGGCTGGAAAATTGAATATTAAGATGGCAGTATCCCCCACATTGACCTATGGATTCAATCCCTAGCAAAACCCCAGCTGCCTCTGTTGCAGAAGTTAATTTTATAATCTATATAAGAGTTTAAACTTGAAAAAGAACAAGGTTGAAGGAGTCACACTTCCTTGTTTAAAATTTAACACAATCCTGCTGGGTAGTGCACACCTGTAATCCCAGCAGAGGGGAGGCTGAGGCAGAAGGACCACCAGTTCAAGGCCATCCTGGGCTATAGAGTGAGTTCAAAGTCAGCCTGAACTACATAACGAGACCCTGTCTCCAAAAAAATAAAACCCCCCACAATGAAGTACTGATCCATGATGCAACATGGAGCAACAACACAATCTTAAACACAAACTAGTTCAAAGAAGTCAGATAGAAAGCCACAAATTGTATGAGTCTATTTACAATATAAATGTTTAGTATGGGCAAATCTATGGACTACTAAGTAGATTAATGGTTGCCAAGACTTGGTGGAAGTTAAAAACGCGGAATGACGTTCGTGGGTGGGTGGGATTCTTTTTTTGAGAAAAAATGGTGTGAAATTACATAGTGGTGATGGTTTCACCTTTTTGCGAATACAGTGTACCAAAACCCATGGAACTGTGGTATCAGAATTATATGGCAATTAAAAATTAGAAAAATAATCACGACGAGCAGTATTATTTCCAGTATCTTTTATGTGTTAGAGAACTGTGGTAATAATAAACTGCCTCATTTGATTTCACCGTTCAATGACGCCCATTGTACACGAGTATTTTTAGTAACTACACGAGCACCAGCCGTACTTTCAACCATTCTGGCATTCCGGAGGATTCTCCGAAGAACACCTGGTCCCTGAATACGGGACTCCAGATACACTCACAAACCTGTACATCAGTCGCGGAAGGCGAAGCTAAACTGGCTACATCGCCACCTAATTTCCGGCAAAGAGCCAAGGCAAAAACCCGTAATCCGGGAAAAAGCGCGATGCGCCGAGCGACACAGCCGTCCCCGGAAGTTGCGTCGCGCAGTTTCCGGTTCCGGTTGCCTCCCGCGCACGCACTATCTCGCGCATTCGCGCAGTGCATGTGTATTGGCTGGACTGAGGTGGTAGCAATGGACATCTTGGACCGAGTTATGTAAGTGCGCTGGGTTCCCTTGAGGAGAGGGTCTCTTGTGACAAGAGTGATATTGTCACTGCCCCACTGCCTTCCTGGCTTCCTCTTTCCTTCTTGACGCTCTTTGACGTGGCGGGGTGAGGGCCATTTGATTCACAAATTTTAGCTTGTTCAGCCTGCAGAGTTAGGGAGCCGGGAAGCTCGCAATGCAACGGTCTGGGAGAGGGGTCAGAAACGTTGGCCCGTCTTTATCCTAGCCATTAACAAACGTCTGGAGTCGGGCGTGGTGGCGCACGTCCAGCACTCGGGAGGCTGAAGCAGGAGGGTCGCTGCGAGTTCAAGGGACTGTATCAAAAACTCCAAGTATGTCTGGAGAAAAAGTAGACGATAGATAATAGGAAACGGGGCCGTAGATCTTTTGGATATGAAAAGGTGACCAAGAGATGGAGGGAAAGAGGGAAGGAGAGGGGAAGGGGACATAAATGAATTAAGATGTGTTGTGTACGTGTACCAACTCAACACAATGAATGTAATCATTATGTACTGGAAATAAGTGCTATTAAAAAAGAGGAAGCCCAGGGGCTGGGATGTGGCTCCGTGGTAGAGCTCTGACCTAGCTTTTATGAGGCCCTTGGTCCGATCGTGTGCGTGTATAAAGATACTAAAAACCTCTGGCTTCTGAAGTGAGGGGGAGGTGGTAGAGGGAAGGCTTCGGAATCAGAGATCTTGGTGGAAGTCTGGGAGGGTCCATTCAAAGCCTTGTGACTAGGGACCATTAAACCTTCCTAAATCTCAGTTCACTCTAAAATAGCCGTGTTGCATAGAGATGTGTTTCGTGAATGTAGTAAAAGCCTTTGCCTCAGCAGGTAGAAAATGTTCGCTAGGTTTTTGTTTTCCATCCAACTTCGTGCATTTCTCAGAATTATCCCTGAGTGATATTTGTTTTAAATTCGTTCAGAAAGTATGTATTGGAGCTTCTAAGTATTCCTACTG